AAGCATAATAATAAGTTAAGTGTTGCCGAGATGAGAATGATTAGGTGGATGAGTGGCTTTACACTTAGAGATAGAATGCGAAATGAATATATTCGTGATAGGGTTGGTGTAGCTCCAGTGACAGACAGAATTAGAGAGAGTCGTCTTAGATGATTTGGTCGCACTAAACGTCGACCAACTGATGTTTTGATTGGAAGAGTAGATGTTTTAGATTCGACTCATGTTAAGAAAGATAGAAGTAGGCCTAGAAAGATTTGGGCATATTGTATTAAAAATGACTTAATTTATTAGAATTAAATGAAATTATGACATTAAATAGGACTCAATGGGAAAAAAAATGCATGCAGCCGACCCCACTTAGTGGGATAAAGACAAAGCAGTTGGTCAGACATATGTTTGTTAGTTGTAAGTTCCCTGTGTTATGGGGTTCGATTCCCGATGGCTGAGGGTGTGGTGCTCGAATTATTAGGCGCATCAGGGATGACCGAACCTCGTATAATAGCCTCAAGCCATTCCTTAATATATATATATAGGCGCATGGGTCACCCCAGACTTGATGGGGGTAGAGCCAATAGAGTGGGTTGGGGACCTCACGTCGTGACCCATTTAAATAAAAAATAAAAAATACAAATTTCTATCTTTAATGAACAAATAGATGGTATATCAATGCAAATGCAGTATATAAACATAAAAATTTACGTATCTAAATCCCTTAATTTTATTTGCAATAAATAATGCCAAATATGCCCAACATAAAATGCAGCTCCTGTTCAAAGTTCCACTCCAATCTTCATATACAGTATCACTCTACTATAAATACCCCCTCATTCCCATCCTCCACCGTCGTCCCCAAACCCCGCCCAAAATCACCCAATTAACCCAATGTCGCCGGCGACGATAACCTTTGCCGCCCTGATCGTCATGGCGGCGATCTACTGCGGAACGAACCCTTTCAATCACGGAGCCATGGCCGGATTTCCGGGCTTCGAGACCTACAAGGTGGAGCTCCCTCCGGCGACTGCGGTGCCGGCGGATGCGGTGGATTCCGATGACCGGCTCACGGCGGCGGAGGTGAGGTTCATGAATCAGGTGCAGGGGCCGGAGAGCATCGCCTTTGATCCCACCGGCGGAGGGCCTTACACCGGCGTTGCGGATGGTAGGGTTTTGTTCTGGGACGGGGAGCGGTGGAGGGACTTCGCCTTCACTTCGCCAAACAGGTTAGATTGTTCCGTCACTGTCTATTTGGTAGCTTCCTATTAATTGAATTCAGACATTGTTTGTCTAATTTGTCTCGCATTCCATCTTCTTTCTGTGGCAAAGATTTATTTAGGAAATTTATTCTTCCGTGATTTCAAAACTTTTTTTGAATTTGATAAATCCACGTTTACTAAATTCTATTTAATATAAATTATGTTTCTTGTATAACTTAAAATCGTATTTAATAAATCTGATTGAGAGAGACTAGAAATTTAATTCTACAGCTGCTCGTGAGGTTCCTCTCTGTGGCTTTTCAGTTCGACACAACGGCCGGCTTTGATAAATTTTCTTTAATGTACATCTATTTAGGAGAATTTGAGTAAATTGAAGTATGATATTTTGATGTCGCATCATAGTTTTTTCTATTTTTTAAAACAATTTTTTGCCCGCATTCTCAAAAATCTGGACTTAAAAGTAATGTTTTTCCATCATATCTAACTACCTGCAGTGGTTGCTAGAAAATTGCGGTCAAATTATTATTATTATTTTTTATATTTATAATAACCACCACAATTTTTTGAATAATAATTGTTTCCCACATTCACAAAAATCTGTAGCTAAAGCCCTGTTTTTTCATCATATTTGACTAATTACAGTGACCGCTGGATTAATTAATAGAGTTCGAGTTTCAGCTTGAGCTTTTTAAAAGTCGAGCTAACTCAAGAGCGAAAAAAAATATTAATGTAAGTTAATGTTTAAGAAAATGATAAATAAAATGAGCATTTAAGTAATAATTGATAAGAAATAGCTTAATATAAAATAAAAAATATTTTTAATAATTTGATTGAAAAATTTTGAATTTTAATATATTTTTATATTAGTTATATATTAGTTATTTTAAAAGAGCTCATTCGGGAGCTAGCGAGTCGAGTTGGGGCTTGCTTGACTGTAATGCTGTAAAAAAAGCTCATTGTTCGCGAACAGCTCGTGTTCGGCCTGTTAAGTAGGTAATGTTATGTTCGTTCGTTAAGTAAACGAGCCGAACACGAACAATATTCTTAAGCTCAATTTATGAACGAGTCAAATACTAACAGCTCTTTGTTTGTGCGTATTCAGCTCGTTTTAGTTTGAAATAAAAAAAATCATATGATTATTTTCATAATAATGTATTATATATATTTATATTTTAGATCATAATTACTCATGTGACAATGTGACTATGTGTCTTCTTTTGTATAGATTTAGTTCAAGGTCGAATCCAACACTCTACATCTATTTTTTGCAATTAATTTTAACAAATTAGTTTCAAGCCGAACACGAATAGTACTGTTCACGAGTCAATTTCAAACACGACTTTATTTCGAGCACGATCGATCTCAAACAAATCATGTAAGTGAAGTCTGAGCGCTCTGAAGCTCGACCCTTTTACTGCCGTGGACTTGATTTTGATTTGATGGCTCATAGAGCTTGATTTGATAGCTCATTTATTATTTTTGCTTAATATACTGTTTTATTACCGCACTCATGAATTTAAAATACTTTTTCTGCTTATTGACCCCATGTGCTGACAGGATAAATTCATTAAAGTTTTATATTAAAATACACCTTTCTTTATATATAGGAAAATGACATTAATATAAGTGGCATTTATATGCATACCACCCATTCCTATGTATTTACATATCTATGACCAACCCATATCTTTTTATATGTATATCATTTCATATAAATATAAAAATTTAGATGCTATATATATATATGTAAATATTGAGGATTGTGTGCTATACATGTGAATCTTTCTTAAATGAACCTAATTCAAATATATTAATGGTGTGAGAAAAAATTGCAAAAAAATAGGAATTTACAGTCATACCACACATTTCATATTTATTTACCACTATCTCTTTAAAGTAAATTATATTCTTTTCATGTATGTGTTCATGACACCGAGCTATTATAAGCTTAAGAGCTTTTCCCTTTAACCAAGAGGTCATGGGTTCAAGATAATATGTGTACTTAGGGGTGAGCGAGCTTAGCCTTAGCTCGTGTTCGACTCGTTAGAAAATATTACTGTTCGTGTTCGGTTTGTTTGCTTGGGGAGCCAAACACTGCTTGCGAGCAAATACTCGTTTTGACAACCATAGTCATGCAACCATAGAGATTTATATCTTATTGTTTATATTAAAATATTTTTTATATATAATTTAATATATTCATATTCTATTTGTTTAATTAATAATTTTATTTGATTATAAATCTTTGTAGGCTTGTAATCAATTAAATTTTTTTAAAGTTGTACTCATCAAATTAGTTATTTTGAGTCAAATACAAACAAACAAATTCTTATTGTGTTCGGCTTGATTTGTGTTCGGCTTATTTATATATCAAGCTCAAAAAAATTGTTTTTGTTTGACTCAATAACTTAGCGAATGAATCGAATACGAGCTTCTTAACGAACCAAACATGAACGTTCTATGTTCCTCAAACAACGAGTCTTTTTGACAGCCCTATGTCTAACAACAACAAAAAAAAAAAATGTAATTATGAAATTTTGAGTGTTACATACATAGATAAGCATTGTGAGGTATATATGTAAATTTCTTAAAAAGAAAATTACAAGTAATGGCTGGTCTTAAATATGCTGTCCCGGGAGTGGGGAGCACCATTTCAGGAAGCTATACGGCAGCGTAATAAGCCTACGCAGAGCAGCCATCAATACGAAGCCAACTGTCTGACAAACCAAAACTTATTGAAAATAAATGAGCGGCCCACCGCATTTGTGGACTTCTTCTATTCACTGCGGCCCGTATGTATATGTGATAACCCAATACTTTTTAAAAATAAATGAGCGGCCCACCGCATTTGTGGACTTCTATTCACTGCGGCCTGTAAATATGGGAAGGCATGGGAGAAATCGATCAGCCACGTTAGGTCTTTATTTATTGTTTTGTGTTATTGCAATTCAATTTATTAGTAGGGACAAAATTAAAATTTTTATGTATTTATATGTTCTACATCTAGACTTGAGTGTTATATGTACTTTCATATTTAACATATTAAAAAGTGCAGTGCATCTTTTCACGTGGAGGTTTAAAGCACCCAGAGGGTTGTGTGTGTAAATATGAAAGTTTAGGCGTGAGATAAGTAAATTTTTGAGGATTTTGTGCTTGGTATGTGAAATTTCATTTTCTTTTAAAATAATAAGAAGAAAATAGAAAGAAAAAAAATTTAAAAAGAAATTGTCAATTTTCATATTGTAAGAATTGCTGATGTTAAGAGTCCATAGTAGGTTTTCCCTTGAAATTTCCTTTTTTTTTTTTATAGAACTGGATAGTGTTAAGTCGACTAAAAAACCAGTTAAGACGGATTTTTTCTTATAGTAATTCTTTGAGTATGAAAATTTTGAAACTTGCTTTGCTCTACTAACTACTTTTGAAGTCTCTTAGGGTGTTTAGGCTTTAGGAGAACTATCCTCAGTGGGCGGAGAATGGCTAGTTAGATGAAGTGTGCTTAAAAGTAAGATCATGGTTATAATGTAGTGATTAACGATGCACATACCATCTTTTCTATGATTGGGTGTCTAATTTTGGTTCCTTGAAAAATTATGTTCACATAAAAAATTGGCCATTACTTTCATCTATCATCTTTTATTATGAATTACCTCACAACTTCTCCCACATTGAGATATAAGAGCTAGTCCTCCATGATTTGCAGACTTTGGAGAAATGGTAATAAAGAAAAACAAATCTTAAATACAATAAATGGTTTTTTGTAGCCGTCATTCTACATAAACTATTTCATTCTTCTTGCAAATTTGCGGATTTCTCCCTTGACTTCAAAATGAAATGACTTGGATCATCTCCTTATGAGTTACTGACGATTTCTATATGCACACCCTAAAAGCTACACTTAAATACAGGAACAGTGACGATTTCATGTGCTACAATTACATAATTCAATAGTTTTGTGTTTTAATTACATAATTTGATAATACATGATATGAAGATTTATTATATGATTGAGCATACTATTCTAAATGGCGCCTCATGGTGACATGCCTAAATACAATTGAATACAAGTAATGTTAAGCTCATTCAAATATCAATTTCAAATTATGTCTTAGGATGGTTATGGATTGTAAGTTTCTTCCCAATGCACCCAGTTAATCCAATTAATCATACTTGACACTGAATATTATATTGGTCTAAGTTATGTAAGTTGTCTAAAGTATGAGGAGCTTAATTTTTAAAATAAATGTTTGTACCTAAATTTTTCAATATATTATGATTCCTTTTCAAATAAAAGAGTAGCGAAACTTCAATTCTTCCTAAAGTTTTTTTTATTAATGATTAAACTAATCTCATCCGGATCAGCTCATTATAATTTTGCGAACTCTAAATCAACCAAGATCAAATTCTAATCCTATCTAACATATCTAAAATAAAAATTATTAAAATTTTAATCCCTAAATACAAATATAATATAAAATAATTATAACACAATCAAATATTTAGAAAATTTAAGCTTAATTTTGACATTTTTTGAAAAACTTTGAATTTCTAAAATTGGAGGATTTAACATACAAAATCTCAAATAAATACTTTTATAAGAAGGAAAAAGAGTTTTATCTTACATTTTACTAAGAAAATGAGGAGAATGAACCCTTAATTTGCCAAATCGATCGGTCTATGACGGAGAGGAGTTTGTCAAGTTAGAAAAATACATAAAAATATCTATCGTATATCTGTCTTTGTTTCATATTAAGATAATTTTATGTGTTTATGTGTAGGAAACCCCCATAAAAGGAATTCAATAAGAGTTGGTAATTTTTCACTGACTAGGATCAAGATCATGCCCAACGTCTATGCATCATTTTTTGAACTAGAGAAAAAAGCAAAATTTTGAAAGCTCAAAGCCTAGGCACCATCCACCCAGATCCTAGACCCTCAAAACTCAACACCAAAACATTATAGGTGTAGCATCACAGTGCAGCCCAAAGACATAAGGAGGAGTCCAAAATAGAGAGCATGAAGCTTAGGCATCACCTACTTAGTGCCTAGGTGCCAAATCCAGCACCGCAGTTCAAATATTGTCAGGGCTATGACACTATCTAAGCCAACTTAAATGACTAGAAACCCAATAACATGGCACCTCAATACCAAACCTGAAGTGTTGCAGCACCTACCCCAACACCTAGGTTGCCATAACTGTAGCATCATGGCACGACAACCCAAAAAAAAAATAGTTATCCCTCTCGATTTTCAAATTCTATAGGAGGAGTCGCAATTAGGGAGGCAGGATCTACTTAAAGGCAGTCACTTGAGTGTGTTAGGGAGATTATATAGTATTAGCGAGAGGATTTGAAGAGTCTAGAGAGCTTTTAGAGTGAGTGATTGAGGAAGTCTATTGTAAAGAGTGTGACTCTGCTTTTTGCTTGGCTTGGTGGAGTAAATCAGTGGAAGGACTAGAATTCTACAAATCACATGGCCCTTCTCTTCTAAAATTGTTCTTCTCTTGTTTTAAATATTGTAAAATTGTTTTATCATTGTGAAATGAATTTATTTTTGTGCTTTGTTTATGATATCATGCTATGCTAAGTACCCTTGCTCCTATAGATTTCTATCTTTTTTTAGTGATATAGGTTTAATGATTTTGAAACATAAAAGAAGTCATTCTTGGTGAGTTTATATCTTGATGTATATGATACCTCAACTGAGCCTACCATATAGATTGGGTGATGATGAGTTTATATAATAGGTGATGCCTCCATAAACTTTCTTCAATAACTAGGATTTCTCTCAAACCCTAACAATTTGTAACTTTTTGCTTATTCTTTTGACTTTTTAACTATCTTATTATGAGTGTATTAATTTGACTGTCATGTTATATGCAGGTCAACAATATGTGATCCAAAGCCCTCTGCCTCAAGTTATCTGGAGAATGAGCATATCTGCGGCAGGCCATTAGGCCTTCGCTTCGACAAGAAAACAGGAGACTTGTACATTGCTGATGCATATTATGGGTTACTGAAGGTTGGTCCCCAAGGTGGTTTAGCTTCATTACTAACCTCAGAAGCTGAGGGAATCCCTTTCAAGTTCACAAATGACTTGGATATAGATGAAGAAGGAAATGTATATTTCACTGTTAGCAGTAACACATACTATCGAAGGTACGTCGTAAGTTCTTCTCTTTTTAATCTTTCATTGTTATTCTAAGCTGCCATTATTATTATTATTTGCAGAAATTTCCTGCAATCAATATTTACTGGGGATCCAACAGGCAGGCTGCTGAAATATAATCATATTACAAAGGAAACAATAGTGCTCCTCCATGGTCTTCAGTTCCCAAATGGTGTCTCTCTAAGCAAAGATGGATCCTTCTTGGTGTTCTGCGAAAGCTCGCGCAATAGGTGAGTGTTCGTCTTTCTCTCCATGCTCCAACACTTTTCTTTTTGATTTGCTCACTCAGGGGCTGAACCAGCCTCTTTTTTGAGGGGCGCAAACTTCCCGCCTAGACGCAACTTGGGAGTGAGCAAAGGCAACGAAGGACAAATTGATATTTCTGGAGGGGCGGGCAAAAGATCAAATTGAGCTCTACACACTCATTGTGGTCATCTATGTTTTCAATCAATACTTTGCAGGTTAACGAGATATTGGCTGAAAGGAGAGAAAGCTGGAACACCTGAGCTCTTTGCCATTGTACCTGGTGCTCCAGACAATGTAAGAACTAATGAGAATGGTGAATTCTGGGTGGCAATCCATTGTCGTCGCCGTACAATCACTTATTTTTTTGCCATGTTTCCAAAGATAAGAAAGTTCTTCCTGAAGCTTCCTATTCCAACCAAGTTACAGTATCTGACGCATGTGGGAGGTAAGCTTCATGCTTTGATCATCAAGTATGGACCAGATGGAAACATGTTAAGAGTTCTGGAGGATAGACAAGGGAAGGTGGTGAGAGCAGTCAGTGAAGTGGAGGAGAGGGATGGAAAGCTTTGGATTGGTTCAGTTCTTATGCCTTATATTGCAGTCTATGCTGATGAAGATTCTTAAGTTGTTGTTGTTTAGGAAATGCTTTGCTAGCCAAATAAAAAGCTAATGGATGTCTTCAGGGTTGTTGCATGGATGGCAGGTGGAAGTATATGTGAATTGCTTGCCACATGTCATTCATACAATGCCACATGGACTTTTAGGCTATGTTCTATGTAATCTAGTATTTTGTGTGGATTGAGTGTGGTGTGTACATAGTTAAGTCTTGTTATGGATAATTTGTGTTTAATGCCAGTTATTAGCTTGTGTTTGGTTTCATCGAAATAGGTCATCTTAACGAGGTTCTTTTTCTAGTCATAATTAAAATATTTTGAGTTTAAGCTTTATGTGTCATTAACAAGCTTTTATCAAGCATGAATCTCAATGTATTTTGATAAAGAATCATCTAAATTCAAATTAAGATCATTAGGCCTCGATTTCAAGAAGTTTGTAGTCAAATTGACCACCTTGGCCTTTATACATGATCATATCAGAAAAATATAAGTCACATAATTACACAAAAAACAAAGCATCTGAATTTTAAGAAAATCTTATTAGCCTTTGGTAGTGCTTTGTGTGAGAGATCGAGCATCCAATGTGAAGTGCACCCCCTCAGGCTGCAACTTTCATATTTATATACATAGCACAAATTTACATATACTGCACTAATATAATGTATTCACATATCTCAAACCTAAACAAATCATTTACAGAAGTTTCATATATTAGCTTTTGGTAGTGCTCTGTGTGAGAGATCGAGCATCCAATGTGAAGTGCACCCCCTCAGGCTGCAATTTTCATATTTATATACATAGCACAAATTTACATATATTGCACTAATATAATGTATTCACATATCTCAAACCTAAACAAATCATTTATAGAAGTTTCATATATTAGCCTTTGGTAGTGCTCTGTGTGAGAGATCGAGCATCCAATGTGAATTGCACCCCCTCAGGCTGTAATTTTCATATTTATATACATAGCACAAATTTACATATATTGCACTAATATAATGTATTCACATATCTCAAACCTAAACAAATCATTTACAGAAGTTTCATATCTTATATAAAATCATCAGATCTAAAATTACATAGCACAAAATTTTTATGTTATTACATAACTCAAACCTAAACTTTTATATTTAAACACATATCATTCTAAACTTAAGTAAGACCATGAAATCCTCATACATTGCATATCTAATAAAGAAATACCGAAAAAAAAAAACACTTAACAAAACTCATGTATTTTCAAATCTAATACCAATGCAAGGAAAATAAATATGAAACTTATGCTAAACCAAAACTTAGACGCGTGGAAGAAGATTTCTCACATTGGACGAGGTTGGAGCGGTGAATCGGAGCCAAAATAGTTGGAGAAGCTAGGATGTGATGAAGGAAAGCCCAAGAGAGATAGAAGTTAGGGCAAGAAGAAATGCAAACCGGAGGCTGCGACGTTCGAGAGCCCTATTTTAGGGCATTTACGTTGGCATTAGCGTCCTCTAATGTCAACGCTAATAAGTGAAACTAGATTCACCTATAGCTAAGTTGATCCAATGCTACGATGTCAAATTTGCGCCTTCTACTCGACACTATTCGTCTGCGTTGTTTTTTTTGGGAGCGAGACTGCGGACGACACTAAACGCACACAAATCAGTCGCTAATTTTGCATCAAAATTATTTTTGAAGCTAATTCTAAAGTTAATCCACATTTTTCCCGTAGTGCTACTATCTTTATAGTAATAAATTAGAACATTTATGACCAACTACTTTTATTATAATTTCTAACTACGGCTTCTGTGTCCAACTGCCACTATTGCAACCACTAATTACAATTTTTTGGCCAACTATTACCCTTCTAGTAACTAATTTTTGGCGAATTACTATTATTACAATTTATAACTAAAATATCTATGATTAATTATTGCTATTGAAATCACTGATTATAGCTTTTATGGCCAACTAATTTTCTTAAAAATCCAACTACTATTGTTACACATTCAAACTGCGACGTCTATGACCAATTGTCATTATTACAACCATTGACTGTAAGTTTTATGACCAACTACTGTTTTTGTACTAATCAATTATGATATTTAGGACCAAAGTACTATTGTTATAACTTTCAACTATAACTTTTGTGATCAATTGTTAGTCTTTATGACTAACTACTACATTTGTAGCAACTACTATAATCTTTGTGACCAACTACTATTATTACATTTGTGGTCAACTACCACAATTGCACCTACCAACTATAGCATTTATGACCAACAACTACATTTATGACCTTTATGACCAACCAATAATATTATAGCCAAGAACCACATCTATTGTATCATAATTATGACTTTTATTGCTAAACTACTATTGTACTTACAATTATAACGTAATATTATTACAGCTAAGAACCACCCGTGATTATCAATTTTGTAATTTCATCTTCTCTAATTCTGAAAGTTGACTTGTGTACTTACAATTATATAGCATATTACTTTGACTTGGGATAGGCCTTGTAATTTTTTTTTTGTTTTCTAGGATTTTTTTCATGTAAAACTTATGGTGGCTCTTCCTACCATTTTTCTTTTATTTGTATGTGTATTGGATCTTCATGGAACACCAAGATGCTAAATTATTACTCCATTGCCTTAAATCTTTTGACACCCAATATTTTGGTGCTCTTTATAGGAACAAAGTCCCGCCAATATATATATCTACAATTCTTCAGTGGCTGACAAAAATAATAAATGAGATTCTCACTCTAATACTTGTGATTTCAAGGAATATTCTCAAAGTCTGGACTACCGAGCTCTCATTTCATCTTTGTCCTTGTGATTTATTACCCCAATGAATCATAATTATGTTAAATTATCACTCAACTATTGGAATCTTAATATTTTATTATATCGCAACTTTTGTGATCTCACTCGTGACTTATTACCCTAATGAATTCTTCCTCTTTCATCTTTCTCTCTTCCACCCCATACCCCATCATATTATTTAAAGGAGTGGACCCTTAGTCGTTGGGCTAAAGAGTTACATCAACTTCTTCGGTAGGAGAAATAATTGAGCCTTCCTCACTCTCAATGTCAACAACTCACCTGTGCAAACTACAAATCCATACAACCCAGACTACATTGGACTCTAGATGCAATTCTAGGCATATGCTATGCTGTTTCTTGAGCTACAAATTTTCGTGTGCATTCCATGTTGATTGAGTCTTCTTGCTCCTAGATTTTTCTCTACATGTAAAGCTCATCATCTAGTTTGTGGCAAGATCCATACTCACCATATATTATAGGATGTTGAATCCAAGAATATCAGTAGTCTAACACCATATAAGCAGAGCTTGTGGGAGAACAAAAAATGAAAAAAATAAATAAATTGAGTAGCTGAACTGGAGTATGAAAGAGAGAGTTTGAGTAAGTACTCTACCCCCCTTCTTTGGGAAGGATGCCTCCTATCATTAGGCCCAGAGCCAGCTACGCCCAAGGGGGACTTTATAAATGATATTTAGAAGAAATGACTGATAGCTCGAATCATTATGAAGCACGTGACTACCTATGCTGGTGTAGTGAATGCTTTCACAAGGGCATGAAGCAAGCTAGCAAGATCCTTCCCTTCTTCTTGAGTTGGACAAATTGGGACCTTCACTAATTTAAGGGGAACCAGTGAATGTTTCTGAGCCATCGTCTTGTGTTGGCTCGAGATTTCTTTGAATATGCCTCAAATATTCTTGTATTCGTCACATATCTAGGCTGCTTTTATATTTCTCTAGTTTGCAGACATTTATTGATTATATATGTGTGTGCGCGCTCGCACACATAATATTTAAATGCTATAATATTATATAAATATAAAATTTAGATATGAGATATATAAATACATAAAAAAAATTATATACATTTCGTAAAAAAAGGAAAACGTTGACTTCGTATGCCTAATAATAATGCAAATATGATATATTTATTATTTATTTTCTGGGTAAAAAATGTCCAAAATTTAATTTTGAACTAAATTATCTCTAATGATGAATAACCTCTTGTATTTGATGATGGATTTTAAATGCTGAAGTATTTGAAATAGGCTCAAAAATATTATAGTTCGAACCCAACTTAAATCCATCCTTGAGCCTAATTAGAACTAGCTTCAAACTTTTTTCCAACTAACAATGTTGGAACTCATTCAAACAAAGTTCAAACATAGGTTCGATAACATTTGATCAATCTAGAAGCATTCACAAATCCCTTTTCTCTTTCACATACTACACTCTCACTAATGGATTCACCATAAGCTCCAATCATAAACCACTCTTCTCCTTCACATGCAATCAAGCTCATCAATGTCTTCCTCAGAAACCCCACACTACAATGCATCTCCTTCACATCTGACAATCTATCAATGACTTTTCTAGCAAGTTTTCTCGCAAAAATTGTGATTTTAACCTAAAAAAAATCTTTGAAGCTTTTTTTTTTCAATATATATATATAGTTTCAACTAGTAGGTCATGAAATTAAAAACAAAAGAATAATAATTCACTTTTTCAAAATGACCATTATACCCATCTTCCCCTCTCCACTCCTTTTAGTTTCATGTACTTTATTTTAATTCGTGACATTTTTGTGGAGTTAATTAAAGTTAGGTTATTGAAACTTAAGTTTAGTTTCCATAGGATTGAAAATACCATTAAACTACCATTTGACCTTATAGACTTATTTGCTCACCTATTGGCCTAACATATCCAAACTTATCACCTAATAGGTCCAAAACCATTCAATCTTAACCAATCCAAACCCAAGCCAACCAGTTCTTTTCGAGCTTATCCAATTTCAACAACCCTCAAGCTCTTTCCAAGCCACCAAAACTAAGCCAAGCTCACGCCTCCCAAGCCACATTTTCCATGCTTCATGCAAGCTAAACCAAGCTCCTCCATGTGACATCCACCCATTGGCTAACTCAATCTACCATATAACTAACTCAACTAACTCAACAACCAACCTCAACAAGCCTAAGCACTCTCCTCTTTCCATTGGAAGCTACCCGAAACTCAAAGCCCACTTGGCAAGCTCCCATATGCTACACATCATTTTTAATCATCCACATGGCTCCCTCTCATTGGATTAAATTTTTAACCTAGGCATCTCAGGGCACCCTCCTTCACATCTTCCAATCTATAGATGTCTTTTCTACCAAACTTTCTCGTAAACATAGGAATTTTAACCTCAACAATCTTTTGTGCTTATTTTTTTGAATATATATATATATATATATATATATATATATATAATTTCAGGCAGCAGGCCGGTCAAATTAAAAACAAAAGAATAATAATCCGTATCTTACAATGCACCCCCATTCTCTCCTCTTCGCTTCTCTCGGAGCTTGCACTTCGCTTCACCAGGTCCTAACTCCACAAATTTTCGATTTTTCTTTCTATGAAATCAAAGATTTCAGTCCAGGAACAACTCCTTATAGATTCGAAGCTTGTTTCATCGTACTTCTCAGTTGCCTTTTTGCAGCTAGAAATTTAGTTCTATTTCGGTCCTTCTAAGCATAAAATATTGCTTATTTCTTCCAAACCCTGTCAATTTCCACGGTTTCCAGTGTCTTCCATCCACCACCTCTCTTCCTCCCCTCTTCTCCTACCAAATCTCTTCAGTTTCGTCATAAAGCTGCAATCTTGCTGCAAAAAATCCATCCTTTAAGAGTTCTGAAACCAGATTCTCATGCAGAGAGAGGAAAGAGGGATTATAGATTACAGATCTGCTAAGCTTTGAAGCTCATGGGGAACGCATGTATTGGCCCAGGCTTCTCCAAGAACGGAATCCTGCAATCCTTTTCTGCAACATGTTGGCCTCCACAAGCCCCAGTTGATGCCCTACCCCCAATAAAAACCGGTGATTCTGCAAAGGAGACATCTTTACCAACTGAAAAGAGACCTCCGGAGCAGGTTAAGATCCAAGAAGCCAGCTTTCCAGAATCTGAGTCAAAGCTTCCGTCTGATCAGTCACCTAAGAAGCCCAAGAGAGTCTCAACTGCTGGTCTTCACAACTCCATTCTGCATCGAAAAACTCAGAGCTTGAAGGAGATTTACAGCTTAGATAAGAAAATTGGGCAAGGACAGTTTGGAACCACATACTTGTGTGTGGAGAAGGTTACAGGGAAACAATATGCCTGCAAATCTATAGCCAAGAGGAAATTGAGCACCGAGGAGGATGTGGAGGATTTGAAGAGGGAGATTCAGATAATGCATCACTTAGCCGGCCATCCGAATGTTATTTCAATCAAGGGAGCTTATGAAGATGCTGTGGCTGTTCATGTTGTGATGGATCTGTGTGCTGGGGGTGAGTTGTTTGATAGGATAATTCAGAAGGGGCATTATACAGAGAGAAAGGCTGCAGAGCTTACAAGGGTGATTGTGGGAGTTGTGAAGGCTTGCCATTCTCTAGGGGTTATGCATAGGGATCTGAAACCAGAGAATTTTCTTTTTGTTGATCAGTCTGAGGAGGCTCATCTCAAGACAATCGACTTCGGGCTTTCGATATTTTTCAAACCTGGTGATTCCTTTTCTTGTTTGAATTTTGTTACTTTGTGGAATCTTACATGCATATTTGAGTCTTTGCCTGTAAAATCTAGTTACTCTCATTATTATTCATATTTGGTAATTCTGGGGGACTCAATAAGTCAAATTATTATACATTTTGGCATCATTCTTCACTATTTTTCTTAAATTAATTTGCAATTTGCTTAGTTTGAATTGTATTTAAGTCGGTAATCCATTAGTTTACAGCTCTAATATCGATTGAGATCCTCTTAAAAAACTCATGATATTTTGCTGGCCAATGATTGTTTTTAGTCTTTGTTCCACTAAGAAGAATTTTAATGTGATAAAATTTATGTGTCTATATTTTGATAAAGATGAGAATCAAAAGTTATTAATGATTGCTTGTAGTATATTTGTTTACTTTTATATTGTTTTATGACTATTATTTCTTTTAATGATTATGTGACCTCTTTTAATTTGGCATTACTGTCATGTGGTGTACTTTTTTAATGATTATGTGACCTCTTTTAATTTGGCATTGCTGTCATTTGGTGTACTCTGTTGAATTTTATTATAATTATAATATACTAATCTAATCATTATTAAATAGTTAAGATTGTAAAAAATGGGGCGAAGAAGAAGCAGGAAGCAGACGTGGTATAGCAGCAGTGGAGAAAAGAATATATAAGGAAAAGGAGAAGCAAGTAGGAGAAGCAGATAATGCAAATATTTCCTTCCAACTGTTAACTTTTAGGTACAGATGTTTATAAAACTGAAAGAAGTGTCTAGAAGATATGCAAGAGAAAAAGGTAATAATTTGTTGAAAATAGAAAGTTGTTGGAGGTATGGTGCTGACCTTTTCCAATGAGTGGTGCTGTTGTTTTCCAGTGAGTGGAGAGCTGTTCTTTATGGAAAATAATTAACTATTATTTAAGAAAGAAAGCTAAAATCTATATAAAATTTAGTAGGAAACTACTAAAAACCTTCAAATTATATCTTTTGTTCAAGGAAACAAATGCATGCCTCAAAAAACTGTGCAATAGAGCCTTAAATCAAACATGATTACTTTCCCTACTTAAGCTCTTCTTTCTTTAGGTCATATGATAATTTGATTAAGCATTTAGTAGTTGATATCAGTTAGGTACAACAACAACAACGACATCAACAAGCCTTTAGCCCACTAAGTTGTTTCGGCTACATGAATCCTATTTCTTCATTGTGTCCTACTTAGTGTCATTTTCATTTGATATTGATAATTTAAGATCATTTTTTTATGCAATATGCCCAAATCTTTTTATGTCTACTTTTACCTTTCTTAACATAAGTCGAATCTAAAACATCTATTGTCCTAATCAAATCATCAAATGGATGACGAACTAATATCGGGTAGGCAACTGAAAAAAAAATCTCAATTTTGCATCTCTCATAAGAATTTTTAAATTCTTATTATTAGTATTTTTCTTTCATTTCAGGGGACATGTTCTCCGATGTGGTTGGTAGTCCTTACTATGTAGCGCCAGAAGTCCTTAGAAAGAGGTATGGTACTGAGGCAGATATTTGGAGTGCCGGGGTGATTGTTTATATCCTTCTTAGTGGTGTCCCTCCTTTTTGGGCAGGTTTTGATTTTTACCAACAATTTTCTATTTGCTTTCCGTCGCAATTAATCTTGACTTCGGGCAACTTATGCTTCGGGTTTTGTTATCCATAGAGTCCGAGGAAGGCATCTTTGATGAGGTTTTGCATGGTGATCTAGACTTTGAGTCTGATCCATGGCCTAGCATCTCAAATAGCGCCAAGGACCTAGTGAAGAAAATGCTTGAAAGAGATCCTAAAAGGAGGTTGACAGCACATGAAGTTTTGTGTTAGTTCTCAATCTCATTACTTAGAAGAAACAATGAAGAAAATTTTCTCTTTTTAGCAGAATTACATGCATAGCACTGGAAACTTTGCTATTTACAAAACTAGCACGTGTAAAGTTTAGCGTGCTATGCGATGAATTGCTGCTTTCTTTTGTTATTTCATTTTGATTTTAAAGAAAAATATGGAGAATGAAGACAAGATTTTGTAAAAAAATCTTCTTTTGTTATTGTCATTGTTCATGTCTTTCCACATATATTTTATAAATTTATTCTTAAACCTTACATGCAAATTTATTTTGCAGGCCATCCATGGGTTCAGGTTGATGGTGTTGCTCTCGACAAGCCGCTAGATTCCGCAGTCTTATCTCGCATGAAACAATTCTCTGCGATGAATAAGCTCAAGAGGATAGCCTTGAGAGTAAGTTCCTAGAAAGCTTTCTTATTATACCATTAAATATTAGGGGCATTTACACACATACCACCCAATTCCTATGTATTTACATATCTTACACGTGTATTTTGCTTTTTTTACATTTATACCGCATAAAAAATATTACTATTTTAACTTTTAAAAGGTCAAATACACATTTTCATGCATATATAAGGTGACATCTTCTGTTGAAATTATATTGAATTGTAGATGTTAACAAATTTGATAATTTTTTTGTTTAGCAAAAACAACATTTTATTTATCGATGATAAAAAATCAACCCCACCCCTCTTAATCTATTTGAAATGTATACATAACTCTCATATACATTATAAAGATGCATCATATAATTTCCATAAAGGGTTATCTATATATATATATATATGTTGATTTAGGAGATCATTTAGTAGTAAATAGCAATATCCATAGGGGTTTATATGTATGCATTTCTATTTCAAATATCCCTTTTATAGAATTTTACTTAAATTTTTTTTTTTGTGCAAAAATTTCCAGAAAATAATAAAAAAAATTTTTAGGTGATTGCAGAGAGCCTTTCTGAGGATGAAATTTCAGGCCTCAAGGAAATGTTCAAGATGATAGATGCTGACAATAGTGGACATATAACTTTTAAAGAACTCAAAGTTGGATTAGAAAGAGTAGCTACAAACCTCAGGGACTCAGAAATTTATGATCTCATACAAGCTGTGAGTGCTATTATGCAATTCTATTTTCTAATTTTTCTTGAATTATTTTCCCAATTTCAAAACTAGAATTATTAACATTTCCAAATTAGCTGTTTTAATAGCATCTCATATGTTGCATATTATAGGACTATCTTTAAGTGGAATGTTGCAACATAAATGCTGAAAACTCTTCGGATATGTTTGGGACTATGCTTTCTGGTTGTTTTGCTTTTCAGACCTCCGCCATAGTTCTCTTTGGGGAACTATTTTCTTCCTAATTTCTAAAAATTTTTGTGGTATGAAATTGTTTTATTTAACATGAATTGTTAAAGTGTGGTGGCTGCCAAAAAGTTATGATCTAACTTTTTAAAATTAAAATAAATTTGTAATAATCACTATAATTTTTTGAACAACAATTTCTTCTGTAGCAGCTTCTTCAAACAACGGTAATTGTCATAAACAGATCCTTAATTGTGTGGCCAAATACTATTTTTGCTTCAGATCTCATTATTATTGTTACACTTACTAAACTTTATGCATGTTAGTTTTTGGTCCTCATATGATGAGATCTTTATCATCATCATTGTTCCAGCTTTTTGGGGTGTGCTTCATAATTCTTATTTTCCACTTTTTTTTTTTTTTAGGGGACATTTACATTCATAGTGTTGAGAAAATAAGGGCGGAGAAAAACTAGGAATGAAACAAATCCAGAAGAACACAGAGATTTAACGAGGTTCGGCAAAGATGCCTACGTCCTCGGGAGCAGAGCGGGGGCTGCCGACCGACTGCTGGGAGGTGGCCGATAGAAGGGCGGGGGCGGTCAGCAAGCTGTTGGGAGGTGACAAAACAGAAGTTGGTGTTATGAAATTTAGGGCGAAGAAAAACAGGAATCGACACAAAATCAGAAGAAAAACATAGAGATTTAACGAGGTTCGGCAAAGATGCCTACATTCTCGGGAGCAGACAAAGATGCCTACATTCTCAGGAGCAAAACGACAAATTCACTATTTCAGAGGAGTTACATACCCATAGGGTTACACATATATCTATAGATAAAACCCACAAATAAATATACAAACACGCCATCGCTCGTCCCAGCCCACTAATCTAAGAGACACACATTTTCACACCAACAGACTCTCCTTTTCATTCCAGGAGGCACACCTCTCCATTTCAAGATACTTCAAATTTCATGGTATATGAGTCATATCTAACAATTCTCCACCTTTGCGAATATCCAACACTTTAAGAGAAAATCCCACCTTGCGAATATTCAATCCCTTAGGAGAAAAAATTTCCACCTTGCGAATATCCTGTCATTTAGGAGAAAATCTCCACTTTGCGAATATCCAGCCCCTTAGGAGAAATATCTCCACCTTGTGAATATCTTGTCCCTTAGGAGAAATCTCCACCTTGTGAATATGCAGCCCCTTAGAAGAAATATCTCCACATTGCGAATATTCAATCCCTTAGGAGAAAAAATCTCCACCTTGCGAATATCCCGCCCTTTAGGAGAAAATCTCCACCTTGCGAATATCCAGCCCCTTAGGAGAAATATCTCTACCTTGCGAATATCCTGCCCCTTAGGACACATCTCTTTCCCATATGTCAGAGTAGTCACC